ATCATTTCTCATCTCATTTACATCTATATCAAGACTTAGGGCAGATATTTCGGATAAGAGATCCGAGGCAGCGGCACATAGGAACTACCTCGGCACCCATCACACTTCCTAACTAGTCGGCTCGGCTTGCTGTAGAACTTACCGTCACTTTACTAAGGGGTAATGCGCATGCACCTTATGCTCCCTTCAAGGGAGCTTTCATCCTTGGATCTCCTGACCGGCACACCAATTTTAGTGCGATTCAGCGAAACTCCTGGGAATATCTGCTAGCAAATGGTTCATCTGGACGTCAAACGCGATACGATTCAACGACAGTTTTTTAGTCACAGTTGCTAGATTTGAAGTCAATCGGGGCTGCGCCAGGAGGCATAGAATGAGCTCGTCCGAGTGTTCTATCGGGTTGGTTTCGCGCTGGACCGGTCAGGGGTGGTGGAAAACACAAATGGGTTGGGTCCATCCTACGCCTCCTGAACACAGGTTTCTTTCTTCCTGATCACTGTAGACGACGCTACCGTAGGTGGTGCCATTTTACGCCTCCTGAAGCGGCCCGACTGACTGGGACGCTATCAGCTATACACACAATACGTATCTGAGCAGAATAAGAAGCGTTGCTGGTTCTCTCAGAAAAAAGGCAGTCATATAAATAAGAAAATAGAATCGGCACAGGAATGCGCACCCGTTGGTAGCACACCTCTTTTCACCGCTCGGTATGAACTATATGAACAATAGGATTCGAGAAAGTAGAATAAAACGGAAGTATCGCATGAACTCTTTGGCTTGAATGATTTCCCAACACAATTTTAAAATTTATAGAATTTTAATAACACACACGGACACAAATCGGAGGCACGTGTACATGATAGGTCGTGTTGCAGGGCCCCAGCGTGTGTCAAAATTTTGAGGAAAATTGGGATTCTGAAGGAGGTCTTGTGATGGTCAATACTGTTTTCAATATTCGCCGAGAGCAGAATTAAAAAACAACAGGGGCTCCACGGAAAACTCCCCAGCTGGGTACACTCCCACGGTGAGAAGGGTCGCAATTGCGGGTGCGTGTCAACGGTCTCGTAAATCTCTCCGAATTTTCAGGATTACTCGAGTTTGTCAGGCTTAATTTTAGTTAGTGGAATATCAACAGGTTTCAAATACAAACAGCTGGTCTTTTAGTTGATGGAAAGCTGCCAATTTTTTTTCCAAAAGTCCTGCGTGCCCGCTAGTGCTGCACTAGTTACGCAATTACGACCCAATCTGCCTCGTGGATGCAGGGTGTGCACGTGTCGCCGCGTGCTCGCAGCTGTCGCATCTGAATGATGCCACTGGTCTTCCGCGCCATCACTCCAACCAGATCACTTATTCCTTCGGAAAATTCCCAGCGGAAGAGGAGAGGGGTCGTATTTGTGTTTTCCCAACGTAAGACACAAGAACGTGCCTTGGAGGCGATATGGCTCGGTGCGGCACGCGTCACCAGGGAGTTTTCCTCTTCCTCGCAGAAGGACAATACACTTACCAGTTGCTTGCTGACATTAAATATAAAATATTTGGCGGGTAGAAACCATTGAAATTCGTTGACAGACACGTTGAGTATGCTCCGCATTGTGGATAGAGGATCCAGTCACCTTCGTAGACGGTTGAAATACTCCTATCACTCTGAAGTGCAGTTAAATGAGCAACGGGCCTGTAAGGGGCTTGATTAGTATGAAGGCTCATTACACGCTCGCCGTGTGGATGGAGCAGGGTCTACCATCATGTTCCTCTCACTGCTGCATGCTCTATTTTTTGGAACAGCGAAAGAGCGCTTTGAGGAAAAGCGTTCATAGGTAGCTCCGCCCTATTCGGCCAGCGTGGATCTCACCTTCTAGTGAACCCTGACAAAGTGATGCTCGCAATCTTCGCATTTTTAGGCTTCAACTCAAAATATCTCTTCAACAAGGATAGGAATTCACCTTACCTCTATGATATCAAAACTACAACACGTAGGCCCCCATATATCTGCTCTCATGAATCCTTCGCGTTTCTAAAATCGAATTCGTTTATGTAAACTTCAGTGGCTTCATGGTAGTTAGCAATGATAATTTGAAAGAAAAAAACTCAACAAGAGTGGTTCTCCTTGGACTTTTCTTTGATGTCGTGAGGGACCGCCGAAAATTGAGACAAATGCAACGACACATACACCGTCATTGATAAAAATACTGTATGAGGTTGGAAGATCTTCTGGAAAGAAAAGTCAACTTGAGACCGCTTTCAAAGTAGTTGTTCTGGTTTTGAAGACATAAGTTGCGCTGTCCACGCACATGGCATGGGCGGAGTTAGGCGTACCATTGTAGAGCTGCCATGGGCGTCACTGTGGAGCTTCCTATTGTAGGTACGAGTTTTTGGCGGGGCTGCACAGCTCGTTTCCATCAGTGATCCAGTCACCGGTGGCAAGCTGAGCTGCGCCGCGGCTTTACCAAGGTCGTAGGCAGGAATACGGGCAAGAGTCAATCCCAATGACGGCACTCGCGCGTGTGGCAATGGAAGCGGCGTTGTTCTTGATTCGTGTCCTGTCGATTGCGGAGCATGAATTCACGAAGAGCTACGAAACTTGTAGATAGTTTACGACGTCTCGCGTCTACATGACATGTGCTCGCTCTATTAGACTGGAATCATTGTCAGCTGGTGGGCGACGTCGCTGCGCGATCACCCAACAGTCTTGCGCGAATTACGACTCTCTTTCACGTACTCCGATGCTACATAGAGTCCACACGCGACGCTCCTACAGCACTGTACTCCTTGAAGCCATGTACCCTCCCAATATGATGAAAAGAAGGGCTCGAAGCAATGGTTGGCCTAATCCCGCCTGTGACTTCGCTTAAGACTAACGAGACTTTGCCTTCAAATAATCTGAAACACGACTTATCTGAACCCTTACCGTTTATTGATCTCACGATTACCTGGCTCACACAAGCAGCCACGTATTGAGAAATCGACCAGGCTCGGCAATTACTCTGATATCCACGCCTTCAAAGCATGAACTAATACTGTTTTCGATGAAGTTGCCAACCTAGAACGATAAATATCAAGTGAATTTTGGCGTAAAAGCTTCGAAGGGGGCCTCAAAAGACTTGTTGTGAGTTAACGTTATTCGAGTAATGTGCAGAGGTAATAATATAGGGGGAATGAAAAGAAGATAAGAAGGCCCATGGAGATTGCCCCTGCAACTTTTTTCGCAGGGGCTGGCGGGGCAAATGCATGCCCTGGGCATATACATCGGACAATTCTCTCCCACCATGATAGCGACAGTCTCTAGGAACCTGCACGCGAATAAAAATTGAACAACTCTTTCTGCCGCGATTACTGAGGCTTTCCTTGAAACCAGTGAAGATGCGGGATGGCCAGAGGTTAAGGTGGAGTGCTTAACCGCTTGTAGGGGAACATCCTAAGGGAATAACGCCTTGGGTCTCAAGTATCTTCTCCTCGTGCGAAGTAAATTTGAATATGTTCAGTTTTTTTTTTGTTTCGAGGAGCGCATTTCATCTCTCAACCCGACAAATCAGGTATAAACCCAGACAAGCCTTTAACCAACCAACTGATCCAGCAAAATGGAAAGCCCCTTTGATTCCAGCGGGCAACTCCATTACTGGACCCTCGGATCGTGCGCATGGTACGCGCAGCTACTTCCTACTACACCAGTTACCTCAATTCCAGTACTTACCTTTAAAAAGTGTTGTGAAGTTGTCGCCATAAAACCGCCTCCAATATCGAGGATACTAATAGGGTGGCCCAATATACGGCCATAATCAAAAAGTTTTCGAGCGTTTGCAAGTGAAAGAGCCAATGGCCGGCAGTTTTCCACTCCGGAGCCAATATGGAAGCTGTAATACGTACTCATACAACTCACCAAAAGTCTTTCTTAGGCCGCACTGAAAGCCACAGTCCACGGTGATGGCAAGGGAGGAGTCTGCCATCAACGTGGACTGTGGCTTTCCTTCACTTTCATTGATGTGCGACCTTTACTTATCGTGTTAGAAAGGAGAAGCGCAACGTTCTCCTAAGTGCAGCACTGGTGCCGCCCATACGATCAGCGTGGACCGTGGGATGCAGGGCTATGTAACCCGCAAAATGTGAGATTGTATGAAAGGATTCACCTGATTCCGTGAATTTTCGCCCCAATTCTTGCTGCTTCGTGAAGGATGAGCTTACTTGTAGTTTCATCAGCGCCGAAATTTCTTGTTCAGATCGACCAACGATTCAAAACCTGTTACTCTGATACGTAGTATGAGCCTAAAACTGACCATTCAGAGCATCAGAGCTTCTAGAACCTCGGATATTAGGTCAATGAAGCCAAGCTTTTAGCCCAGCTGATTACATACTTGACGACCATACCCAAGGCAAGGGCGTAGAACGCGACTAAGGAGGTAAATGTATACTCTTTGGAACTTTGCCTTGGGTATCTATCGCTAGCTCATAGTGCACAATCTCCCCCTTGCTATTTTTACACTCCGAACTTGACCGTGGCCCCTTGTCAAAACAGCTGCCACTCTATTTCGTAACTCACTTGGCCTCTTTAGTGATACTGACAATTTTTCTCAACTCCTCGACGCTATCCAAAGTCATCATCATGACACCCATTTTGTATAGCGTACTCT